TCCATAATGTATTAACTAGAAATAACTTTATATGGAGAATCATAGCCAAGTCCCCCAAAGCAAGACGAGCTACTCAAGGACAGCTGAAAGAGCACACCCATCTATGTGGCAAAATAGTGGGAAAATTCACAAGCAGCTGTGACAAACATACTGAGCCTGATGATAGTTGGTTGTCCAAGATAGAATCTTAGTTCCACTTTAAACTTACCCACAGAATTACTTAATCTCCCTATAAGTTTAACTGTTAGTCTAAAGAAGGACACATCTTTAGAGCTGGCCATCGTGGGCCCAAAAGCAGCTACCAATTAAGAAAGCATTCAAGCCCAACATCTGTCTTTAATCCTACTCACTCTACTGAACTCCTAACATAACAATGGACTAATCTATTGCTTGATAGAAGCAATAATATTGAGTAACATGAAAACATTTTCCATTGCATAACCTTAAATCAGACCAGAATATCTGTTGACAGTTAACAGCTTAATATTAATGTACTATATAGTAAGCTTCCTGCTATCTATACTATTAATCCAGCACAGGCATGCCCTAAAGAAATAGTATAAAAAGTAAAAGGAATTCGGCAAATCTTACCCCACCTGTTTCCCAAAAACATCACCTCTAGCATTACCAGTATTAGAGGTTTTGTCTTCCCAGTGATGTATGTCCAATGGCCGCAGTATCCTGACTGCACAAAGGCAGCATAATCACTTGTTTCCTAAAGAGGGACTTGTATGAATGGCCACATGAGAGTTCAGCTGTCTCTTACTTTTAATCTGTGAAACTGGCCTATCCATAAAGAGGTGGAAATAAACAAGATGATAAGACCCTATGGAGCTTCAATTTATTAATGCAAATAAAAACTCAAAAAGCCTACAGGCACTAACCCATTGTTCCCTGCATTAAAAATTTTGGTTAGGGTGACCTTGGAGCAGAATTCAACCTCTGAACGACCTAAACTAAGACTGCAGTAGTTTAAGCAAATTAACATACATTGACCCAATAATTTGATCAACTGTATGAGTAACCCCAGGGATAACAATGCAATTCTATTCTAGAGTCCATATTGACAATAGGGTTTATGATCTCGATGTTGGATGAGGACATCCTAATGGTGTAGCCACTATGAAGCGTTCCTTTGTTCAATGATTAATGTCCTACGTGATCTGAGTTCAGACCAGAGTAATCCACCTCAGTTTTTATCTATTTAATATTTCTCCCAGTACGAAAAGATAAGAGAAATCGGGTTCACTTCAAAAGTGCCCTCGCTTCTTCAATTCCAGGACCATTATTTTCCTTTGTGTTGCTTTGAGTCTTTGGTCCTGACCTCTTTCCACACAGAACTGCCATAAACCGAATAGGAAATCCAGTTAGAGACAAAGCAAAAAACTTAAATACTGTCCTTTATATCACCTTAGTTAATATTTTTTTAAAGGACATGTTGAAAGCTACAGTTTCTCCCATATCACTGATTCTCAGTCCATTTTATTATTTGCCTGAGCATAAGCACCAAATAAAAATAAAAGATTCACTAGGCAATGAAAATAAATCAGTATAACTGTTTTAGGCAGTCCTGTACCTGAAAGCAAAAGTCATTATTATTAAACCTATATGCCACACTACGGCGATTGTCAGCTCTGCTCTGCCTCCATTGTAGCTTTTCTATAATGATTTTTCTGCTTTCCAATAGCTGTTTTGTCTTCTGTAAATTGAGAAGGGACAACAACCTTCATCCAATAAATCAGCATTTCTGAATCACCATTTAGGAACTTGAAGGCTGGGGTCTGATTGCCTGTTTCATCAGTTTTATTTATTGAGACTTAAACACAATTATTTCTACTGTCCATGGGTAGAGTCATTGCTTGCCTTTTTTTTTTTTACCTGCAATGGCCTCTCAAATTACATGCTGTCTATGAGCTTTGCATCTACTCCTGTCTTCTGGATTTTCTTTTCTTTTATTAGGCATCAGCATCACAAAATATATCTTCCTTGTAAAAGGTTGTGTTCATTGTAAAATAAAATTAGGAAAACAGAAAAGAATAGAAAGGAAAACAGAAAAGAATAGAAAATAAAACAGTAAAATATGGGTACTATTAATATTTTGATTTGTCTCCCTTCAAGTTTCCTTTTCCTTACATGTATGTTTTTAAGCAATTGGCAAAAACATTATATGTACATTATATATGCTAATAGTATGGTCTAATTGATGTCCTTGCCAGGAAGTAGTATATAGTTTCCCTTGATTTCTACAATACCTGGCTAGCTTGCTTTTGTTACTTCATCTGAAGATAACACTCTGTCTCAACTGTAACTATCTTGGATTTTCTGGCTTCCCCTTACTTTGTTCCCTCTATCCTTTACTATCCCCATCACTGAGAAATTATCACATATTTTGTGGTCAAAAACATGGCCAATGTTGATGATCTTTCCAAGTTTAATACATACTGTGCCTCTGTCACTCTAGTTCTATATGTACTTGGCATAAAGTGGATATTCAAAGCTTTGACTATTTATGGCTATGTAGGAAAAACAAAAAACTTTCTTTTGCAGCTCCCTGCTTAAGTGATAAGCTCTTTACTGGGGACCTTGGATGAGCTTCAGGATATCCCTGTGCAAAGTTGGTGGGGTGTGTTTTCATTTTTCTGGTGAAAGAATCTCAAAGCTTTTATCAAGATAAAGGGGTACAAGAATTTAACATTTTCAAGACTTGCTGCTCTAAGTCATGATTATTCTCAAATGAATAAGATTAAAAATAAGAACTAGCAAGGCTTCTATACAGCACCAAAATATCAGATAAAACACATATATCATAAAAGAATTAAATACGTCATCAGTTTATAAAGTGGAAATTAATATCTATAAATTTAGGTATTCCTTTAATTTTTTAAGAAAAAAAATCTTTAACAATTGAATTTGGTTCCACTCAAAAATAACAGCAGCTAAGCATTAGATATGGTTTTATGAATTTATACAGGGTAGGTAAAAATCAGCTAGACACGTGATACCTGTAAGCAGTTTACAGAGTAGGACAGAGGATAGGCAAATATACATGTAACCATTGTGGTATAAACAAGTAACATGTACAAAGTTTTAGATACAAACAAACCAGAGTGTGAAGAAAGTACCTTTAAAGACAGCAGGTTACAGTTTAAAGATTGCTATCAACTTTGAATGTGATGACTTTTTTACATTTCCATTTAAAAATAAAATATTTATATGCATCTGAAAATCAGTGACTTTGCCATTACAAGACTCAATTTTAAAAACTCTTAATTTTTCAGAGAAAAGCATCTCACAATTTAAATGCCATTTAAAAACATACTGTTAACATGCATTTAGATTTAACATAAAATTTAAAGGAGTAAGTGCTCAATAATATTCACTCTTCATCTATATTGTCAAAAATTTTTTATATTTTGATATAAAATTTATAACCTAAAGAAAAATATTGATCAATTATCCCTCTCTCAAACTCCTATTAATCATAGTATTGGAAGTTCTGGCCAGGGTAATCAGGCAAGAAAAAAAAAATAAAGGGTATTCAATTAGCAAAAGAAGAAGTCAGATTGTCTCTATTTGCAGATGACATGATTGTATATTTAGAAAACCCCATCGTCTCAGCCCAAAATCTCCTTAAGACGATAAGCCACTTCAGCAAAGTCTCAGGATACAAAATCAATGTGCAAAAATCACAATGTGCAAAAATCACCTATACACCAATAACAGACAAACACAGAGCCAAATCATGAGTGAACTCCCATTCATAATTGCTACAAAGATAATATAATACCTAAAAATACAACTAACAAGGGATGTGAAGGACCTCTTCAAGGAGAACTACAAACCACTGCTCAAGGATTTAAGAGAAGACACAAATAGATTGAAAAAACATCCCATTGATTTTTATGGTTTTTTTTGTGTGTGTGTGTCTATCTCCTTCAGTCAAAATAACAAATAAAAAGGTGAAATATATTTTAAAAAATAATTATGTTAGTGTTGGTTTTATTCATTGCGGTGATCCATTTTTTTAAAATCTGCACGGAATTATAAGCTTCAGTTATTAGTTTTTAAGTTGACAAATTTGATTTGGGTGTGTTCTTAATACTTTGATTCATATCTATGCATTTTAAATTCCATAATTTTAGTTTTTTGTACTATACTCTCAGGAAATCCTTTTATGATCTTTCTTGGCACTAAAGTTTCATCTCTCTTTGTTCTTCTAATTATTGCTTTAAGCATAGTTCTGCAGTTCTATTTTATTATCCATAAATTCATATTTTTCCATAAATTCAATCCTATTTGTGAGGCTTGGCTAACATAGCCTGGTCAATTAGAACCCAGAAATTATACATGAAGTGTCAAACTATGTTTATATTTTTTGTGGATTTACATACTAAGATTCTTATGAATTTCATGTGTTATATAAAACTATTTTTTCCTCTTCATATTTTATCAGTATAATTTGTTAGTGCAAGATTTGGTTGAATGCTAATGACAAAATAATAGTTAAAATACTGCTTATATAAGGTAGTAAATGTACTGTTGCATACTGTGGCCTTTACCAGTTGAAAATAGTCCATGTCTACATATTTTGTAGAATTAAGACAAATAGTCATCACTTTAATGGCTAGCTACATATTTTTTACCAGGAGATGCTTGATTTGTTTCAGAAGAAAAACAACATGTAGAGCAGCAGCTGCAATTGGAGACACTACTTGATTAAAGTGGGTCAGGTAGTGAAGGAAATTAAAACTACTTTTAATTTCTATATTTCATCGACATTCTACATAGTCCAAACTGCCCAGTGAAAGATAAATACAAATTTAATTTAAAAATTGTGTGTCTATCTGCTATTAGGTGGGGTCGCCAATCTTTCTGACATTCCATAGTTGAGGTGGGGTTTTATAATTACTGTTATAATTTTGGGTGGGAATGAAGGGTTATATGATTTACAATGGAACCTCTTTTTTTAAAAAATATTTTTCAAATATACTTTTATTTTCTTTTTTCCTTCCCCACATTCAGAACTTCTCCACACACCACACTCTTGCAGCTATCAAGTCACTTGATGTTGGCCGGGTACCATTTTATCCCTAAAACTTTGTTGACATCAAAACATGACAGCTGACCAGTGTTATATCCATAAAATACTTACAAAGCACAGCATATTAAGCTTTAGAACTTGGCAATTAGACCACATAAAAAGACGCCAAGACCCCCATCCTATATGTTTGGAATAAGGTATTCACTAGTCCCTATCTGGCGACTGTACACTGGTTCAAAGGGCAGCAGAGGCAACAGGCAGTTACTTCAGAGGACACAGAACACAATGATCTGGAAGAATGTTATGATGTTACTCAGTGTCATGTACCACACACCTTTCTCCAAGGTGGTCTCATAACTCTAGAATGGCAGGTCCAGCTGATACAAAATGAAGACAGACAACACAACATTTACCCTATGGAGATATCCTACTCATACTATGCACATGCTGTGGTTTTGAACATAACTTGTCCCAAAAACTTGTCATGATCATCCTGGCTTTTTAGGTTAGGTGATCCATCAATCTTGCACTCAACTGTTAATTCTTTCTCAGCACTGTTAGGGGTCAAGGTAACCTGAACAGCAACTAATGGCTGTAGACACCCCATGTACAGTTTTTTCCCCACAATATGGGAAATATTTTAAGTCCATAATTCCACTATGAGAATAAGTTGTTATATTTGTTTGATCTTCATTCTTCAAAATACAATCTATCCTTGGCACTCCTTCAGGCTTTAATCCAATTATTCTGTTCATTTTCACAAGAATACAAGGTTTTCCTTTAAATAGCCAAAGCCAGGATCACTCATACCACTGCATGCTTGAAGTAACAAAAGAGGAAACTGACATGCAACATAAGCTGGACCCTTCTGTTCAAAAAGTGCTCCATCAGGACAGGTTGTGAGAAACTTCTTAAAGTCTGCAATGTACTCTGCATAGGAAGTTGGGTCAGACATACTAAATGTATATTCCAATGCAGTTAAACTGGTTTTGGAAAAACCGTAAGTCCTGGGATAGGAACCTGGTCACGATATTTTGGAACCTCATTGTTGAGAGTCTGAAGCATAACCCACATCATGAATGAGAAGAATATAGCCAGGAATCCATAAAAAACTAGGTAGAAGAGCAAGATCAAACCCCAGCTCTTGGCGGTGCACCCCAGGAACTAACTCTCTGGTGGTCAGGTTGTAGATAAGAGCTTCCACTGGCCAGGCTCTGGTGGAGGGGCTTCTTCTCGTTCTTTGTCATCGTGTGTGCATGGATGGCGAGAGGAGCGGCAGCTACGAGGATGCAGCTGAACCTCTTTATCATTATATTTTTTTTCCATAAGTGAAGAAGTCAGCAAAAGAGTTGCTGTTATTATAGGAGTTAATTATTTAAGTATAGCCTCTGGAACTTGGGAAGTGACACCTTGTAGGATTCAAATTTTCACAATCAGACATATCATGGTTCAATCATCTTTTATCATCTGACACTTATTACTATGTATTCTTTTTTAAAAATAAGTTCTGGGGTACATGTGCAGATCTTGCAGGATTGTTACACAGGTATACACATGCCATAGTAGTTTGCTGTATTACTATGTATTCTGACTGCTGGACTGGAGTTGCATTGTGGATTCAAGAAACTAGAGTATTATTAAATAAGCCATAAAATATTTATGTAGTTCTCTTTCATCTTATCTGAATAAGTGACATGGATAAATTTAAGATTAGAGGGTAAGATCAATTTGCATGTATGTACTATAGAGATATTCTTCTTCAAGGGTACTGGTCACACTGTCACACAATAATACAACAGCTTTTTATTTGATGGGCTGCATTATATTACTTGACTTCAAGTTATACTAAAAGCCTATGGCAAAATATCATGGTACTGGTATTAAAGTAGACACACAGATATATAAAACAGATGAGGATGCCCTCCAATAAAGCCACATATCTACAGCCAAATGATCTTTGGCAAAGTAAAAAAAAAAAAAAAAACCTGGGAAAAAGACGCACTTTTCCTGGACCCCTATCTTTTACCATAAAATGAACTCAAGATAGATTAAAGACTTAAGTGTAAGCCCTGAAACTGTAAAAATCCTAGAAGAAAACTGAGGAAAAACCTCTTCTGAACATTGGTCTAGGAAAAGAATTTATGACCAAGTCTTCAAAAATAAACACAATAAAAACAAAAATAGACACATGACACATGACACTAAACCACAAAGCTTCTGTTTCTTTCAGTGAAAGAAACAGAGTAAAAAGACAACATACAGAATGGGAAATATATTTGCAAACTATGCATCCAACAAAGGGTTAATATTCAGACTCTGTAAGAAACAAAAAACTCAAATAACCCCATTAAAAAGTGGAAAAATGATATGAACAGACATTTTTCAAAAGAAGATGTACAAGTGACCAACAAATATGAAAATATGCTCAACATCAGCAATCAGAGAAATGCAAATTAAAACCACAATGAGATGTCATCTTACAACAGTCAAAATGGGTATAATTAAGAAGTCAAAAAGAAATATATCTTTGGAGGAGGATCCAAAATGGCCGTTTAGGAACAGCTCGGGATTGCAGCTCCTAGTGAAAGTGCAGAGGGTGAGTGGACGCCGCATTTTTGTTGCCCATAGACTAGGAGATTCCTAGGCGGAGGAGCTCCATGGGTCGCCAGTGCGGCTGTGCCAGCCGGTACCACTGCTTTGCCCTGTGCAGCTGCTTTGTTGGCACCCTGAAGCAGTGGTTCTCCATACAAAATACACCGGTCCAGGTGCCCTTTTGGCTATTGATTGGAGCCATGGGAAGTCGCCCATTCATCTGTTTAAAAGGGGGGCTGAGCAGGGAGCCAGGACAGTAGATTCCAGGGCAAAAAAAAGCGCCATGAATCTCAGTGCTGCTGTTTAAGCCAGCACAGTGAGTTGTCGCATGGGAAAAAACACATGCCAGGCGCCTCTTCAACAGATGACTGGAACAACTACTTAAAAAAAAAAAAAAAAAAAAAGACTCTGAGGCAGGGAGCCAGACGATCAGGCTAGGCTGGGCCCACCCCAACAAAAGAATAGCAATCAGAAACTCTGGATTGAGAGTTTCACAGCAAGCGCAGCTGAACCCAGGATGGCCCAGCTCTGTGGGGGAGGGGCGTCCACCATTACCTAGGCAGCCCACCACTATGGAGGTAGTCAGCCAATGCTGAGGCAGCCCGCTGTTGCCAAGGCAACCCGCCACTGCAGAGAGGCTCCACCTTAACACAGGCAAGCCACCATTGCCGAGGCGGTTCTCGCTACACCCATATAAACAGGACGGCAGGGAAGTTCACTCCGCAGGTGGGCGGAGCCCACAGCAGCTTAGCAAAGCCTCTACAGGCAGACAGTGACTAGGCTGCCTCCTTGCTGGACAGGGCAGCTCTGAAGGAAGAAAAAAAAAGAGAAGGCAGCAGCATAACCGAAACTCATATAGCCCTAAATCCCTGGACCAGAGCACCTGGGAACAAAAAGCAGTTTATGAGTTCTGCTGCAGCAGACCTAAATGGACCTGCCCAGCAGCTCTGATTGAACAACAGAGCTCACAGCTCAGCATTTGAGTTCCTATAAAGAAGAGACCGCCTCCTCAAGCAGCTCCCTGACCCCTATATATCCAAAGAGCCACCTCATAAAGGAGAGATCAGATTGACACTTGGCGGGTATCCTTCTGGGACAAAGATAGCAGAAGAAGAAAACTGGTAACAACCCTTACTGTTCAGGAGCTGCTGCAGGTGAACCCCAGGCAAGCAGGGCCTGGAGTGGACCTCAGCAGACCTACAGCAGAGGGGCCAGACTGTCAGAAGGAAAACCAAGAAACAGAAATAA